TAAAATGGTCCCCAAACTATTGGAGAGATCTTAAATATGCACTTGCTACATCACTTATGGATCTTCTTGTTTAAAGACGTTCTCTGGGAAATAAAAAGAGATTTCACAGGCAGATTTTTTTAAACATTGCTTTCTCCATTATGCCTCTATTGTTAGGACTGATAGAAGACACAAAAAGAAGTGTGCATTTTGATGCATTTATATGGATCAGAGAAACCAGGTCATGCTTTATAGTTTTTGCAAGAAGAATCTCCCACAAAAACTGACATGTTAGAAAAGTTGAAAACAATGACAGAGATTTTAAATTCTCAAATTAATTCCATCAAGGCAAAGTGGTCTCCATGGAATATAGCCATTAGATTACATAAGCTTTAATTACCAGCCAGAGTTGACTTGTGACTCTTACTTGGAAATTACATGTTATCCATTTTATTTAATTTAGATTTTCATTTGGTTTGCCTTATTCTACTTATTCTAAGAAAAAAAAAAGTTCATTATTCATACAGCAATCTGTAGCACAGTTTTATATTCTGATCTTAAAAATGTTTAGACATTTGCTTAACTTTGAGATTATAAACAGCCTTCTTAAAGGAAAGAGACTACTTCATATTAAAAAGCTTTTGTCTAATTGACTGTTTGTGTTTACATACCTTACAAAACCACCCCTCACCCCCCATTACTATGTCACCAATGCTGTAGCATCGATGGAGGCACTGCTAAAGAAGGAAGTGCAATGATTCTCTGAGGAAGAGGGACTAAGATAGCAGGGGAAAAAAAACCCAAAACCAAAAAGGCACAAAAAACCAAGCCAGTATTAGCTGGCATAAAAGAGAAGTTAATTTTTCACAGATTGTCAGGTTGACCCAACATGTTGTAACTGTGTAATTTTGGTCTTTGTTCCCAAATGAAACATAGTGTTTAGCATGTCTTTGGAAAATAAAAGATACATTAAAAACCATTTTAGCTCTTACTCAAGACTTACCTGAGCAGAGAGAGAAATGATCTTTGTAATATGAAACATAATTGTGGGCTGTTTCTGTGGCCCTCTAAGCTTTAGAATTTTCAGAAATGGAGTAAAACACTGAAAATCACCAATTAACTTGGATCAATAGTTGCAAAAGATTCAAGAAGAGTTATCAGCCACAGGAAACTGCTTCAGTTTTAAAACGCAATGCAGTGCTTTTTGCATACTACATTTGCATTTACAAAACTACTTGCATTTAATTGTGCCCTTTCGACCCAATATATTTAGGTTTTGATGTTTAGACTTTCGGTTTGGGAAAAGTAAAGTTATGTTGCACTTAGCACACAGGGATACAAGCTTGGCTTGTGTTAAACTGACTCAGAGATAATTTCTTTTAGCCTGAAATAGATTTATAAAATCTGTCATAATTGGGAACTAGATGTGCAAGAGAGGAAAGCAGGAAAGTTGCAGGCTAGGACTGAGTGCTCATTCTACAAGCCTCCCTCTGTGCAGCGCTGCCAATGCATATTTATCAGACTGCAAACCCTGCACTATTCCAGCTCTGCTGAGTCTCCTCCTGAGAACAAACTGTCAGTTATGTCAAACTGGGTGTTAAAAGCTGCTGGGATTTTGTGGCTGGAGCATACGCTTTCCAAAGACAAAACTGGAATCAAGCTCCTTTACCACTGGGAATGAAACGCATTTCTGAACTATGGTGCCCTTATGTGGAATCAACCACACTACCCCTTTCCTCTCCTCTTCCCACTCTCTGGAACCTGAAGACAGATATAGTTTCTCAAATGGTCTGAACACGTAGCTTGCCTGACTCTCGTGATATGTATCTGGTATGACTACAATCAGAAACTTGCTTTTTTAGACCTGTGGAGAGCTGAAATGTTCAATATGCAGAATTTGCTGTACATTCATGCAAGAGAGAAGAGACAGCACACTCCATCTATAGAAACTCCTGTGGCTTTTATCCTTAATGACCCAGTACTCCTGCTGTTTTGTGTCTCTATCTAGCACTCTAGCTCAAAGTTGGGGGTATAACAAATATGTTAATGCACCCTGGGAGTAGAATGACATGGCCTCCTTTTCTCAGAGCTTTCCTGATAGCAAAGTAGGAATTTCCTACAGGAGTAGGGTCTTTAGGTATCTCATTTTGTACCAAAATGCACAGCTAAAACATGCTTTAATTACTAAACAAGACAGAAATGCTAAAAACATCACATGACATCACGAATTCCAGATAGATTCACTGAAATCGGTGCTCTTACAACAAACACCAATTGAGGTGCAGGAGGACAGGTGAGGATATTAAGCCTAGTTGCTCTGAAAGGTCAGTTGTTTAACCAATACATTGTATTCAGGTTATTTGTTCTGTTATTGCAAAACTATATTTGAGATTGAATGTGGTGATCCTACAGAGGAAGGGCCAGTAGCCTAAATTTAGAGATTAGGATAGCAAACTTCCTGTTAAGCAAACATCTCCATTGGAAACACAGTCCTTTCAAATTCTGCTTTGCTTGGCTTATTGGACAGTGCCAGCTAGGATGTGCTCCCTGGTGCACATTTAGAGATTAGAATTAGAGACATCTCCATGCCTGTTTTCACTGATGACCCTAAGTCAGATGGTAAACTTGCTGCTGATGTCATGAAGCATTCACTATCCGCACCAACTACTTCCAACTCTCCTAACTCAATTCTCCTAATGCAGTATCATGACCTGTGTCCATCCTTCATTCCTACAATTAAATAGATCCTAGCAATTAAAAGAAGCCTTCTTTCCAATTATCATTTCTGACGTGCATACTAGTCTCCAAGATAACACTGTTTGCATGTGGCAACCAATGCAAGGAGACTTGGTTCTAAATCAATTTTCAGCTGAGCTTGTTGCTTCTTTGTTGTTTATTCTCCATTCTTCCTCACAATTGCCACTTCAAAGATAAAGATTCAAGAAAGGACTGCTGCTGAAGCGTGGCCATGTAGCCATAGCATCAACGGATGCTTAAAAAGCCTGTGTTTTCTAGAAGATAAGGAAGAATTGCCTGTAAGAAGCTCTGTCCTTTTTGAGAAGGTATTCTTTTTCTAGCAAACAATTTAATGCCTGGTGAGAAAAGCTAGTTCTAGGCAGGAATGGACTTAGATTTGTCTTGAGCAAACAAGGGAGATAGGTTATCTTGAATGTAACTAACTGTACTAAAATTTCATTAGCTATACTGGACTTTATCTTGATCACCTCTGCTGAGCTAGACAAACCCTTTGCGATGAGCAGTAGTGCTAGCCAGACAACAAATATGCTCTTGATAAGGGCAGAATCCAGACTTAGAAATACCAATGCTAATTCCCTTTGTTTTGGTTTAATATTTTAATTAATTCTTATTTAATAATTTAATTACAAAGCAGATTTTTTTTATAAATTTGCTAATTGCTCAGATGAGTGGTTTATGTAAAACAGGGACATTTCCTTTAAGTAACACAGAGAGAAGCTGTTTAAACCTTTGAGCTGCGAGATTCCTATTGTTTACAAAACATTTGGAAACATACTGATTAAAGTCTTCTCAAAATGGATGCAAATACTAGCAGAGAAAAACATGGAGAAATTAACCACAGGGATAACTCATGTCACCACAAAAATATGATTTTCCATGAAATTGCTTAGAAACAACAATCAAAATAGACAAAACCTCCTCACATCCCTGCAATATAAAGCCAGTTTACACTGAATAATTCAAACCTCTAATTGGAAATAGACACACTTTTAAAATTCAACAGAATTTTAACACTCAGAAAAATTCTGCACTGAAAACTACACAAATTTTTACTGTTGTTTTGCTTTTGTTATGTCTATTTTAGTACTAATTTTTTGCTCCTAGCCCTCATCCAGCATGAATATGCTACTTCTGAAAAGACTTGGGAAAGGCTATGTGTTGATAGTGGAAATTGTTTTCATATTTTGGAGATTAAACAATATTTACTGAGTCTTATTCTATATTGGACAAGGTGAGAATTTATATTATTTTACAAAACTTAGCAAAAATAATATAAAAAGGTGTAATAAAACCATTGTAAAGGAGTGATTACTAGGACTTCCAGCAGAAGACTGGAGGCAAACATAAGGAGCAAAATGTGGGGCTGGAATGCCCCACTCATACTACCTGTAAGATATCAGCACATGACATGAACAAGAGTCACCCCCCAAGCATAAAATTATCTTTCAAATAAAGCAGCATGTTGAAACTACCTCCTGTTTATACTGCAAGCGTATTTTATCAGTCTATTTGTCCTGAGTCAAACAGTCTGATCACTTCCCTATTTTAATTCCCTTTATGCAACATTATTGGAAAAAATCTCTGAGAGACATTTCTAAACTGGACAAGGGATATCTCTTTTTCTGGAGCTGCTGTCTATTAAGGGAATTGGTTATTTTGTCTTCATTGTGCATTTATGCCCCTCAATTTTGGGATCTAACTGTGCTCCATGTGCTAAAAGCAGGTTGCAAAACCTTCTGAGTGGTTGCAAGTAGCTGTTCCAAAGCCAGAATAACCAATCTGACTTTAATGAAATAGTATATACTGACTGTAATAACAGGTTTACTTCAAAAACAAATGTCTAAATTGGACGCTGGGATAGTCAAGTAACCAGTGTGAATTTATCATCTACACCTGCGCCACAAATCGATGCCAGAAATAGTCTAAATGAATACAATACTGTTATTACTATTATTATTATTATTTTTATGTTACAGCATTCAGGACTGTGCAGATGCTTTACAGTAAAGATGGATACTGTCCCTAAACACACAATGCAACAGGGGTAGCAAGTGGATCTGTGATCACTCTAATTCACTGTAGAAATCTTCACACAGGTGAATCTATTTGTGGTGATCACAAATTTCATGCTTCATTCCTTCCAAAGAAAAAAGCAATCAGGGAAGGTAATCCAAATTTCTTTTGAAGGCAGGGACTAAATGCAATAAGAGTTTATTTAACCATAATCAGATATACAACATACAAGAAAAAAAAACTACCTTTACCTGTGAAATAAGACAGACTTGACAAGTGTGACAACATCCCGACTGGCATTGTACCCTGCACAAACAATGGCAACGTGGATAGTCTGTGGGAGAAAAGAAACAAAAAGAACAAAAATGAAAGCCTGCTCCTGTGTTCTGTCACTCACCAAGGAGAGCACACACACGACAGCGCTATTATTTAGTGTGGCGACTGTTAAAGATTTGAGTGGGTGTTTTGCAGCTGTTTGCAGCCCACTTGAGGCAGTTCGTTAAAAACATCTTAATTGATTTATAAGACCATCGTCATTCCAAAGTCGTTACTACCCCTAAATTACATCAGATGTTTGAACAGAATTGAATTTATTAGCTAAGAGCATACGTGTGTATGTCATGTACACGCCCTCCCCAAATAAGCAGCACACACAGTTCTGAGTATGGAAACATGCAGACATTTTTAATCTTCTCAACTAAAGTTTAAAATTATGACAGATAATTATAAGCAGATATGCTCTTAGAAATTTTGTACAATTTCTTCATTATGCACAGCCACTAAGGAAAGGGTGAGCAAGCTCTCGTGGATGAGCATGACTGGGACAATTGGTTTGCCAGGGCTGGATGCATCCCAGTGATATGATGGGACACAAGCTGTGAAGGCAGGTAGCCACCTCCTTGAATGTGACTACCAGTATGGGCTGCACTGGTAGTGTTAATATGAAGTTAAATACAACCCCCCCAAACACATTCTCTCCACCTCACAATGCTGGTAAATTATCACTTATTCTGTGCATTCGTACCTCCCATTTAGCATGAGGCAGAGGTTTCCTCATCTCTTCAGGAGGAAAGGGAAAACTGAAAAGGCTCTACGAGTCATTATTATTTATGCAGTAAGTACTAATCTGAAAAATGTGTTACATTACTCTGCTCTGGTTTTAAAATTAGTCATTTTTATTCCCTAGGGACAAAAAAAATTAATCCTAGCAAGTTCTGACTCCAGGTTCTGTAATACTCGGTTTCTTAGTGGTCACAGAAATGAAGGAGAGTTCACCATGCTGGCAGCACAAAGCTGCCATTGGGGACACAGCTGTGAAACTGCAGGGAAGCCTCATTTGGCTTCCATTTGAAGCTTGGTTAGCTGGTTTCTCACGCACACATCTCTCATTTTCCACAGAATGCTCACTATGCTGAGAACAAATGAGGAATTCTGTCTCTTCACACAGTCACAGATTCCCAAAGCCTGGCTTGTAACAGAAGCAGATTTACACAAGAGGTGGCATGTGTTGGGCACATCTAAAGAGTCCACAGCCCCATCCATTACCATCACCTCGTACAGGGCACAATTTGAATCATAAAACTGCCAAGAGGCTGTGCCACTGTGGAACATCCATATGAACATTGCAGCTGCCTCCAGCCCTAGAGTGTGTTTCACAAGCTGTGGCATTTAAGATCTGAGGTTTTAAGAGGAATTGAATTAATAAGACAACTGTCTGTCCAGAAAGGTGTAAGAAAGAAAAGATATTGCAGTATATTTTGGCAACAGCTCTGTTGCCAATGCTTTAAATCTACATTAAAGTCAATGGGAGTGGAGCATGCTCAACACTTAGCAAAAATTGACTGTGTTTCTCTCTTGTGATAAGAGGGGAGAACAGAGGCTGCTTATTAACGACTTTTATTGCAGCAGGAGTTTGTACTGTACTCATGAGCATGAGTGTACTCATTCCTGATACTGCACACAGTGCCTCCTCTCTGACTGCCAGCTGGTCCTTCTCAGGCATTTCGAAGACCTAAGGTCCTTCCCTTCAATGCCAGTTAAAATCAAATTATCTGAGAACAGTTTCATGCCTGCTTTAAACATTTCACCCAAAGACACTGGACCAACACAAACATTTTAGGGGTTTTGACAGAACAGCACTGTCCTATCACTATCAACATAATTTTATACTACCTCTACTTGCAAGAAACACTCTCTTTACAGTCTCTCTCCACCTTACAACTCCCCTAAAAATCAGTTTATTCTGTCAAGGACTTTCCCACATCTGTACTCCTTTTACTAAATCAGTTTGTTTCAGAATTATAAGCAGGCTTTCCTCGCTGTCTTCTAGTAGTTGCTGTTGCCTTGGATGCTGTTTTAGCCAGGGCACAATGAGAGCAGCACATGTTACTCTTCTGAATGTTCTTTTCCAGTTCAGAGACACAGGCATCCATGTACCTTCTGCTCAGCCTCTCTGTGGTGTTTGATATTACATATCACTTCTACTCCTGCCTACAATCAGTTATACAAAAAAGCCATAATCCTCAAAGAGAACAGAAATCTAGACCTTTTTTCCCAAGTTTCTGCCTGCAGCATGCTGCAAGACTCAGTCTGTTCCTCTCCTTTTCCTGATTCACTTTCCTCTCTTTCATTGTCTCACTCTTAAACAAAATCAGTGGGAAAACACTGATAAGCCAAAATGAAGTCATCAACCTGAACTATCTGCAGATGTTTGTATCCTAAGGGAAAAAAAAATTATTTCCAGTTTTCTCCACGTTTGTTCCAAATGCACGTTTGGATAGCGAGCAGCTGGCTGCAGCCAAATTCTAGCACAATACGACAATTGTAGCTGGAAGAAGAAAGCACCTCAAAGAATTTGCATCCTCCTCATCATACTACTGTAAACATCAGCTCCCAGATTTTGAAAATAGTCCCCTCTCTCAACGTCTTCTTTTCCATCTGCAGATGACTAGAAGACTGTATCCCCCATCCCACCAGAACTGACTGCTGTGATTCACACAACCTCTGGACTGAACACTGCAGCCAGCACCCAGGAGTGAAACCACAAAAGCAAAGAACGCTCCAACTACCACAAAGTGCATCAGCCTGCCTGCCTGGCTCAACATGGCCCATCAAACCTCTCACACCAAGGCTCTGCATGTTTCTTACTGATGATGACATTCCATGATCATTCTAGATAATTCTAGGCACATTCTAGCCTGGATATTCAGAAGTCACTGTGAGTCTAAACTGAGCTTCTTTGAAATGTTTATCCTCCTCCAATGCTCTCTTTAAAGTGAATGATAGACAAGTTCATGACTTGTTGCAAATCTGGATTTGGCCATTCATTGGAGATGCTTTTGGATAATGTAACTCATTGCAGCAACAGATGAAATGATGATACATCTTACTTTAAAGACTCAATGAATTCTTTCTCTGTTTATACATGTAGATATGAATAGGTAAGCAAAACACTGTGGAAGTTCATCACATAATTCTTCCCAAAGGCTGAGGATCAGGGACATAAACAGAACTATTTTTAATTGTAAATAGTTTAGGGAGCTCTTGGTCCAAGTACTTACAGGAAGTAATTAAAGAAGTACTTAAAGAAGTTAAGCTCTTTTAGGAAAGAGAGTTTTAAGTCATACCAAGGTACACGCTAACATAGTTCAGAAACTCTTCAGCCAGTACAGGACAGAAAAACTGTTTCTGAATGCATTATTTCATGTAAGGCTATTCTGGGATAATATTAATGGAAAGAAGAAGGTTTTGGGAACCCAAAACCACTGGGCCTTAGATCCCATATTGATGAGGAGTATATGGTGCCTACATAAATAGATGCTATTTTTTTTCCTTCTTGGGCTACTTTTTGAATTATGAAATAGTGAGTTTTGCAAATTCTAATTAGTTCCTATAGCTAAAAATAATCTTTGGTAAAACATTTCATACTTCAGTAATTTTCCAGCAGTGATAGCTAGGCCTTCCATTGTAGATATTTAATCCTTCATAAGTAATTGTTGAATGTGATTAAGAGATATTAGAAGTATGTTACAAAATGTTTGTATTCATAGCATATTTGTAAATACACTACAAATAGTTTACAGAAGCAGGTATGTTACACTGTTTAGGTTGGTGAGGGTCTGGTTTTGGTGGCTGTGGAGTACTACACACTTAACCCTATTGAACAACACTGCTGAGAACAGTAATAAAAATTTGCCTGTAAAACTGCTTCAAATGTGAAGTATTTTGCTAACCCATTAAATGCTATACTAATAATTACCAATTTCCTAATGTAAAATCACTTTTGAAAATATTTATAATTGCCCACTTAATTCCAAGTGTATGCTCAGTTTATGGGGCACAAGCTGGAAAGATATGGTAATAACATAGTAAGAAAGAGGCATATAACTGTGTTAGCTTCCATTGGCATTATGCTCTCCTTCTGAAGCCTGTTGTGTGTGCTGACATCTGTGTAAGGACTACTTGTACTTTTATTTTCAAGGTTTCTCTTTAAATTGTCTACTACTGGGAAGGTATGACAGGCTGGGACTCTGATTTTTCCTTGCAGTGTAATGATGGTCTGTTTTACAATATCAGAAGAGCTCTCCTGTGATGCAACAGAGTAGGAAGCTGTGGCTGGAATGCAACAAACCCACAGCTATTTGATATAGATCACAACTATTATCACACAGATTATGCTTTATCAGAGATTTAATGTTCATTCATTGTAACTGCATTTTCAAATGTTTTAATCATCATTAAAGACCATCTCAAATTAGATTCTGAAATGTTATCTTTAGTAAATCTCTAAGAACAGACTCAATGAAATGAACAACCTATTCCTAGCTTTCTTAGTCTCCCACAGAGCTCCAGTCTTCTCAAGAACTCTGGTTCTTTACTACCCAACTTGCTGACTCTCGCTGTGATAAATTCCAGGGTCAGGAGCTAAAAAAGATTTAGTTTGCACATCTGAAATGCTGAAAACAGAGAGTGAATGGAGTCAAGATACCCCTCACACAAACACAGAACCAGAATCTACAATAATAGGATAAATGATGAGACCCTTGGCAAATCTGATAATAAGGAAGTTTAATTTCAACTTCCATTGCTGTTACTGAATTACTGAGTGAATTCCCTAGGAAAAAGAGTAGAAAGCTATTTTGCTATCAAAATAGTGTGCAGTGAGATAGGGGGATGGCAAATAATGTCAGATTTTGTATTTTATATAACCACTGCCTCCAGCACAATGCTAAACCCCACTGAGCAAGTAAACTTATTGGCAAAACACATTATAACTGGAAGGCCATTTAAACTATTCCTACTTTAAGCTGCTATTTTTGTGTTCCAAATTGGTTGGTACATTGAACAACTGAGAACTGAGATTCAGCTCATCACTCCTTGGCATAATAATAGGGGAGAAGTGAGGTTTGCTTATTGATGGCCTGAACCTTCCCTGATTAAAAGAATTGCCAAAATGCTCTCAGTGAGGAAAATCAGACCCTCATTATCTGGAGGAGGGAAAATGAAAAACAAACCCCTCTCTTTCCCACTCCTTACAATAATGTTGCTTCCTTTTTTTCACACTGACAGTCAAAGATAACCAACTGGGAAGCAGTAACTCACTCGTTAACCGTATTTGATATTTTCACATTGAATAGAATTTATCTCAAAAGATAATTAGGACTTCTTCTTCCTCTCCCACTAATTTTCTTTCAACTTTTATCTTTGAGTGGCAAAAAGCAAGATAAAAGGTGATAAGGTTTTACCTTCTTTATAGAAATAAATGGAGAAAGCTACTTTTGATACCTTCATCAGCTGAGACTGGCAAAAGGCCTTTAAGCAAGATTTTCTGTTTGGGATCTATCCATATTTGGACCTGTCAGCATTCATACATCTGATAACTAAATATCTGGATGACATCCACAAAACTACTGGCACAGAATGGGGAAAACCAAACCAAAAAAACCCACTCCAAAACCTTCTTAGAAGGAGATCTCCTTTTCCCTGTAGCCAATCACACTGTGCACAGCTCGTGCAAAGCAGGTGGTCCCACAGTGACACCCAGGTACACTCCTGAAAGTGAGTCAAAAGCACAGGTTGGCTCCATAAGCCACAACTTAATTAATCGTAAACCCTGAACTGTTCCAGTACAGAGACACAAACAAAGGAATAAGGCTTTTCCAAGCACCGTGGAGCTTTCATTTAACTTAAAAAACACATGGGGTCGATTTGCCAGAGGTCTTTATCAGCACAGCGGTACAGATTGGAACAAGGCTTTGATTTTTATACCAGGTTTGAGGACATAAGAACGAAAAAGAGAAAAAACTGTGATGAAATAATAACTCAGAAGATATTACGATGATTAGATGTTTTAAAGTTTATAAGAAAAAGATTAATTAAAAATTATCTAAAACGTTGCAGCCAGCAGACCTTTAAGAGGCTGGTTTCTGAAAACAAAGTTTCAGGGTGAAGGAGATGGGGATCTGCAGTGTCCTTAAAGTATTATATCTACCAAGCTTTGTTTCTGGCAAGTTCCTTTTGTTTATTTACCTCACATTTTTCCACTGCTGGTTGCTGCCCACACTCGGAGCTGTTCCCTGCCACAATGCCAGCCCGCAGGCTCTCGCTGTCACCTGTCCCCTCTTCCATGGAGTAGGTTTTGGAGTGATTGCCATGGTGATGAGAGGGGCTGCGACTCTGTGCCAGGCTGAGCTGCTTGCGCAGCACGCGGTTCTCCTCCTCCACCTCCCGCATGCGGACTTCCAAGCTCTCGCGCTCCCGCTGGCTCGAAGCCGTGTACCGAGGACTGTGGGGCTGGGATTCAAGTGGAGACAGCGACACTGGCTTCCCATCTGCAAGAGAAGGAAACATACCCCTTCTGTCAGAATATACTTGAAGTTGCATTGTCCTTTAATGCTGGCATTGTGAGGCAGGGATGTCACTTGCCACCTCAAGGCAGTGCTTAAGTGAGTGGTAAACTTGGACAAATGCTAAAGTTCTATGAGCTACAGGTCCTACTAATTTTAAAACCACAGTAAAAGATAAGCATGTGTTTCATTTGTTCTGCATAGGGCTGCCTGCCAGTTTCTAGTCTGGGAAGACAGTCAAGAACATGAGGATTTAATTCAAAGACAATTAATATACAGTTAAATATATTTTAGAAATGTATGCAAGATGAAATAATTTTCCTATTCCCCATTTCCTCCACAGTCAAACGACAGCATTTTGGCAACCATTTTGTGCCAAACAGCAGCCCCAGCTGATTCATATGTGAGGAGCAGATGGGTTTTATTCAGCAACATGGTATTATGTGCTTGTTGAGAAATAAGAGGTTCAGAAGGACAGAAACGTTGAATACACACGTGGGTCAAATTCTGGAAAGAATTTTGGCTGAAAAAGACACAAGGGAATTTTGAAAAAAAAGTAAAATGGTTCAATTCAAAACCTTCAACTACAAAGTTGTAATCCAGAAATATTAAACTGGTGTTTCTTTGATGAAATAAGCATTAAAAATGAGTTAAAGTATAAAAAAGAGAAGTTACCTGAAACCAGGGTCCATAAACAAAGGAACACATTCTACCATCACTTCTCAGTACATTATTGCTACTAAATTTCAAAGGAGCAAATAGGGATACAGCTGATGTGTTTTCAAAGGAGACATATTTTCACATAACTTTAATAAAGCTATAACTATATACACACAGAGTACAAATGCTTGCAAGTGGGTAGAAAACCCTCACGCTAAACCAAGGTTCAGAATTGTTTGATTGAAATCAAATTGAATCAAAAGACAATGAGAGTTATCGACAGTGTCATAATTAGCAAGATGTTCCTTTTCAGTGAAGATAATGTGAGTATCTTATACTAAGGTGTAAGATATAACTTTGTACTTGCACATATTAAATAAAAGAATCATGGAACTGTTAAGGTTGGAAAAGCCCTCTAAAAATATTGAGTCCAACTGTCAACCCAGTACCATGTGCCACATCCACAGGTTTTTGAAATGCTTCCAGGGATTGTGATTTCACCACTTCCCTGGACAGTCAATTCCAACGCCTCACCACCTTTTCCACTAAGTCATTTTTCCAAGTATCCAATCTAAATCTCCCATGGCACAACTTGAAGCCATTTCATCTCATCCTGTCACTTGTTCCCTGAGAGAAAAGAGACCCCCACCTGGCTACAAACTCCTTTTAGGTTGCTGTAGAGAATGATAAGGTCCCCCCTAAGCCTCCATTTCTCCAGGCTAAACAACACCAGTTCCCTCAGCTGCTCCTCACAGGACTTGTGCTCCAGACCCTTCACCAGCTCTGTTGCCCCTCTCTGGACTTGCTCCAGCATCTCAGTGCCCAGAAATGAACACAGGATTCAAGGTGTGGCCTCACTAGGGCTGAGTACAGAGGAGTGTTTGCTATTTAACAATTTTTCCAATGCAGAGTCTCTTTAGTTTTATCAAGTGAACACCAGCCTGAGTGGTTTACAAGATGGAAATCATGCAGTTATTGTTTAGAAGTTCTCCCTAACAAGTGCATTTCCAACCTGCCAACTCAAAACTACCTCTCCTGTAAAGACCCTCTCATTGCTTGTTCTCTTGTATTATTTCACATTTACATGAATGGTGAGCAGTCCTCTAAACTGAGTTCATGAAAAAAAACTCAATTCTAATTTACATTGCAGAGTTATACAGGTATACACACTTCATGTTATGTATATAAATCACTATCCTGGTTTTTATACATAATTTGGATAGAATATCTTGCCTTTTCTAGCAGACAGTCTCCTGCAAAATTTTTCTAATTTATTATTTTTACCATTAGCAAAGTTTATGGATAAATCTGAGCTTGAAAAGTGTCTCAAGACAGATTCTTAAGTTTGACCACTGTTATTGCAACTTGAATGATCCAGCAAATAATTAATAAAAATTAAATGAGAGATTTCAAAAGCCTGAAAATAATGGGTGCAACAATACAGAAACGTCAACATAAAGGACAATGCTACAATTAGATATGCAATACAATACTGAGTTATCTTTCTCTATCCAGCTTGGAAGGCATGGAATTGCAGTTGGAAGATTCATTTGGGTGTGATTATATTGCATTCCTCTTAATGGACAGCAAGAGTGTATTGTGTAGACACTCTCAGATAAAAACAGCACCTCTACTCACCCACACAACAACCAACCTGTGTTATCATCATTTACACTATTATAATGCAAATGTAGCCAAAGACTTCACTGGCAATCATAACTCCCCCTCAGTGAATATCCAGAATGACACAGATCTTCCTTATTGCTTCCTATCCTTGCCACTGAATTCTGCTTCCTTCTCGAACAATTACCAGAGAAGGCAGCAAGGTATGGAAGCAAATCTCAGGACCACACTGATCAAGTTTTCAAAGCATGGAAAAAATTTAAATGTCTCTTTAGCTATTCTATGAACATAAATCAATAGGTCATAAATGTTACTTTGCCAAAACTAAAACTTTTTAAGTTTTTTATCTTTTAAAAGACATACCATTTTGTACATCTGACCAACTGTCGGTATATTCATCAGGAAAGTGGAACTGTTTCTACACAATATTTATAAGACATAGCATAGTCTGAGACACAAACAGAAAGAAAGTATCACCTCACTGCCTCAGACTGGAAGTTGCAGCAATTAATGAGACCAGCTCAGTGTTTATGCAGTCTTAGCTTTAAATGTCAGTAAACTCCAGCACTGTTTTCTCAGTAGTAAATATTTCTACCAGTATGTAAAAGACAGTAAGGAAATCCTGTCAGGAATTGAACATCTAGCTAACTTCTTCATCTGAAATATACAACTAGTTGAAATGTATAGAAATTATCCATGTTACAAGGTGCTAAATCCAAGATATTTTCTGGAACGATCTCTTCAGCCTTTATACAGTTGGACAAGTAATATTTTGTTAGTAATATTGTTCACTATTCTCAGGTGTTTCTTGATGTATTTGGTATTTTCGTACATCTCAACTCCGTGCTACAAATAATAATGTGACAGTTCCAGGACCCATCTGAAAGAACAGTATAAAATCAAAGGTAAACAGAGTTTGATCTTAAGACTCAGAAATACAATTTTTTGTTTTTCCCAGCAATTCTGAGACTGTGTAACTCAAAATTTTTGCACATCTGAGGCTGGCAAGGCTGGTGGCAAGGTACTATTTGATTTAGATCTCTTACCATACTGGACATGTGAGGATATTTTTATTTCAGTGAATACACAGACAGGGCAAAATGTCTCTTGGGAGCTATTGTCTAATAGGTAAACAGCAACACATGCTATCCTGGTTTTCTTCCTACCAGTTTCCAAGGCAATGCAAGGACTGTGTGCTTCACCCCATCTCTGAAGAAGAAGTAAGTGGGCTAATGTTAGGGACCACTCATATTTGATGGACTCTGTGTGTTGCTTGGTAGAAGAGTTAAAATGATTGCACTGTACTTGAATTTTATAGTTTATAGTAACTGGTAGACTGTTCTGAGCTGAAGTCTAGGCACTTTTTATCTCAGTTAAATCAAAATAAAATAAAATAACACTTAATGAGGTCTGTGTGACTTTGGGACTCAGTATTTCCCATGGAACACTACAAGGAACATTGCTCTGCTCTGAAGCAAGCAGTACACTTTTGAATGGTGTAATAAATAATAATAAAACTATTATTTTTCATTCTTTATTTGGGTTACTGCTCTATTTTGGACCTTGGCAGTTTCAGATTTTTTTTTCTGTGTCAAGCCTTTTACTTTAGACTTTTTGTGCTAACCCAACTGTACCTAAAAAGACCTACAAAATCCTACTGTCCACAGAACAAAACCCAAACACAAACCTGAATAACTATTTCATGGTTGACAGCAGTCAGTAACTTACCATCACACTAGGTCCAACAATTCAGAAAACTTGACAATATGTAAATTATCAATTCTACGGATTATTGAATGCTTCTGTATATCAGGAGTCATCTGGCTTTAAGGTAACAGATTGCATTAACACTTACTTAAGTAGAGCATCTTAGAACACTGGATAATTTAAAGCCTGCAGAAAGGAATCCAGCACAGTTTATTTGAAATAAGAGGGTCTGAAGCAGTGGAGTTTTCTTTCTTGCATACAAACCCTAAAGGATAAGCATTATAACCAAGTTCCTTGTTTTCTAGTTATCAGACTTGGAGAGGTGATAGTCCTAAAAAGGACCCAGTGACATTGGAAGCTTGCTGGGCAAAAAGCCACAGAGAAAACAGAGTTTATCCAAAGGTTAACTGGATAAGGAGAAAAGAAGTAGAGAGTAGGAAAGAAAAATTTGCTCTGATTCAGAGGAGAAGCACAGTGCAGAAGAAGGAATCCTGAGTTTCTCACATGAATCTGAACTAAAATGCTTACAACTGTGTTAGGAAATATTTGAAGCATGTAAATTTATGTAGCCTAATTTGGGAGGGTTTTTTAAAATTTTTTACATTTCTTTTGCTATCAAGCCAAACTACTTGTTTTTTGCCATCTTTACAAGTTCTAGAGGTTTCTATGTGTTTTAGCTATTATTCATCCTCTGCCTAATAGTGTGTAATGCCTTTATAATGAATTAAGTCATGGCAGTGAACTCTAGGCTGCCTCTTAGACAAGAGGAAGTTATGCTGCCCACAGACGGTGTTTCAGTCTGTCTGACTAGACATTCAATAAAATGCCATTCCTTCTTTTCACATTTGTTCACATTCAAGAACTCACATTATCTGTGCACAATATAAGAACTAGCAGTGTAACAATTTTAGCCAAAAGTCAGTATTTTACAGAAAGAAGTGGGGTAGCAGGCAACCACTCTCATGATTTTGTCCCGTTAAGGTTGTGAGTAAAAC